CCTGCTTAGCAACTGCATCAGTTGATCCCACACTCATATGTCCTCGAGCTTTAGGAGGAGGTGGTGGTGGAGGAGCTGCATGAACAGGAGCTGCATGGACCGGTGTCAAAGGGGATGAACATGAAGGGCGAATAGGCTGCAATGCAGGAGCCATCACAGGAGCTTTTGGGCAATTCGCCTTAGCCTTAGTTGCACAGTGCTGCCAGCATCACTGTGTTCCTTCACAGTGTGGTTTACAAACAGCAACTCCAAGTAGAAAGGACACATGCTCAGGTGAAAGTATACTCACCAGTGGTCAAAACCATGAACAATAAGAGCAATAAAATGCGCAATGACAAGGGTCTGTAGCTCCAGGAGGTGACACTGGAGGAGGAGGAGGTGGTCCTTTTGGGGCAGCTGGTAATCTCATTGGTCGCGCAACTTCAGCAGCCAAACCTCAGGTAGATTCACAATGATCTCAATGTTCCAATGTTTCCAAACAATAATTCTTCAATTGAATTGAATTCACAAATTGGCCCCTAACACCACAGGGAAACATACAAGTATGCTATAGCTACCCAAGCATCATTTGTTATTCCCAGGCTTGCTCAATCCTAGGAGGTGTTTCCCATTGATCTGAGCCAGAGCCTGTTGTAGGAGCTGCTCATTGGGAAAGGACAAGTAGATTGAGCAATGGTCTGGCTCTGTAGGAGTGCTCAACTTCGATGTGTAACTAGGGCGGCAGATTTTGATCTCAGTGCATTCCAAGATGTTGTTGTTTTCCAATGCCCATCTGATCTCCTGAGATGCTAAAAACTTGAACACACAATGTGGTCCTGCCAAGGTATGGCCATAAAGTCATTTAACCAATGAGGGACCAAAATCATATAAGAAGATACTATTAGACTCCAAGCAACATATTTGTGACAATTGAAATCGACATTCTTCACATAAAGTCGAAAGGACATGGCCAAAGTGTGAGGCTGGAGATCAACAAAGTTTCAAAGGATTCAAATGCATTGCATGAGTTTGCCATGAAAAGGTATCTAGTTGGAGTGGGAACTCTGTGCATGTGATGATCCACTATGTTGATTCTATGAAAAGATGCCTTACACCCTAGCCACTTTGATGAGGAGACACAGCACATAATCATCAAACATCAAAGGTAATGACCCAGCTCATACAAGACTGCCATACTAAAGACACATTCTCATGCACAGGCTGCCATGCTCAAGTAAAGCCTGCCATGCTCAAGTAGAGTTTGCCATGCTCAAGTAAAGTGTGCCACGCTCAAGTAAAGTCTGCCAATCTCAAGTGAAGTTGGTCATGCTCAAGTAAAGTCTGTCATGCTCAAGTAAAGTGTGCCATGCTCAAGTAAAGTGTGACATGCTCAAGTAAAGTCTGCCATGCAAAGTCTGCCATACTCAAGCCTCAAGTTATCATGGTCAAGCAAAGTCTGCTACGCTGCCAAAAAACTCTAACAAAAACAAGAGCAACTGTTTCTTTTCTCCACCATCTAAGGTGTCTAGCTAGACATCCCCAGGCTTTGCCATGCAAAGCTACCAAAGCTACAGCTACTAAAGGTCAAGAGCAAAAGCGGCTCACTCTACACTGGAGGCTTCGATCATGGCAGGGAAGGGGTTCTCCTCACAGTCCTTGGGAACAAACCTCCTCCTCTTCAGCTCAGGCAAAGGCATTTGTGCCAGAAGCTGGGCCCTCTTGGTCGAAGTCATCCATGCCTTGGAGGCATCAGATCGAGTCACCTTTTTGCCCATATTGGACATGCTCTCCATGTACTGCTTGATGAAAAAGGAGCGGATCTCTGCCATTTTGCCTGCCTCATATTGGCTTTCCTGCTGGATGTGGGTGCCCTTCTTCTCCTTTGGCTTTTGTGATGGCTTAATGCTTTTGGGCTCAGCATCACTCTGTCTTTTCTGGCCACTGTTCTTCACTGACTTCTTCTCATTTGCCTTCTTCTTTTCTTTCACCACCATGGTGGGCTGATACGACATGGCCTTGGACAGGAGGGAAGATTCAACCGGTTTGCTCTTGGATCCCTGACTTTTGGGCTTCTGGTGTGCTGGTGCCATTGGTGCACTGGTGCCCTGACTTTTGGGCTTTTGGTGTGCTGGTGCCATTGGTGCACTGGTGCCACTGGAAGCTGGTGCTTCTGGCTTTGGCTTCTGCCCCAGAATCCTCTGGAAGATTGCAGGGAAAGGGCTCAAGTAATACGGCTGGGACTTCTTCTCTGTTTTGGGCTTGGGTGGTTGGTAGGGCACAATGGCCAAAGACTCAGGAGAAGGAGCAGGGCTGCTCTCCATGGAAACGATGGCTGCTGATGATTTCTCATCATCATCCACATACTCCATGCCCATCATCTCTGCTGGCAAGACAACCCTCTCCAGCACCAAGTCGATCTTCACCTGATCCTGCTTGGACAGCATCCTGAACACTTTAGTTCTCAAGCCAGGGCTGAGCTTGAGGTTTCGCAGCATGGACAACAAAATCCTCAAGGTAAGGCCGCACTTGTCAATCATATCCTCAGTGGTATGGCCTTTGGGCGTTGAAGAAAACTCTAAGTCCCTGTTTGTATTCATTGCCCTGAGGGTCGCACTCAACTTGGTAGGAGTGAGCTTTGTGTTTGGACACACTTTCACCAAGTCAAAAAGCAAACCGGCAACTTTGGACAACCACTCTCCATGAGGAGCTGTGTGCCATCCATAGGACATGGGGCCAGTGGGGGGTGGGCAGATCAAACTCCATAGATCCTTCTTCTGCTTGAACTGCAAGAACCGTGTGAGGGCACCTTGGATTGCAGTCACTGGGATGCTGGGGTCAGCCACCAATCGAAACCTCCCACTTTGCTTCAATGACCTCTCCTCTACAGCAGCTTGCATCTTTACCTGTGCAGCTGCTTCCAAAGCAGCCATGGTCACAAACCAAATAGAGCTAACAGCAACTCACAGAGCCAAGAGATCTCTCACATAAAACATGCACCCTCACACTGGCAAAAACCATCAGAGAATCATATCCTCAAGTAAATTTACTCCCTCAAGTAGACACCCTCAAGTAAAAATGGTTTGTTCAAGTCAAGAAGGGTGCACATGCTCAAGTAAATGCAATCCCTTCAAGTAAAGGCAAAGTCCACACCTCCTGGCATGCTCAGTCAACAAAAACAAAAATCCATAGCGCAAATATCCTCAAGTACATGTTGTCCTGTAGAAAACCTGCCTCTTTGGAGAAAGCCAACTCACATAAATTGAGACATTTTCTGCTTCAAAATCATGCTCACAAAAATTTACTCATAACCTAAAAAATTTACTAATAACCTAAATTGGATTTACTAATAACCTAAATTGGATTTACTCATGACCTAAATTGGATTTACTTTTCAATTTACGTAAATTTTTACGTAAATTTTCCTTAGTAAAACCAAAAATTTACGTAAATTTTATGGTTAGTAAAATTACTAATTTGGGTGACTTAGGGTAGGCAAGAAATAGCCCAGAGAGGCCGTTGCGGACCACGAGAAAAAGGGAAATGGTGTGCCACAGCCCAGCAAGGGCAGTTTCGGCCACTAGAAAAAAAGGAGTTGGTGCGCCAGAGCCCCGAGCCCACAGTCTGTGCAACTTCGCCCATAGTCTCGCACAGAGCCCAGAGCCCACAGTCTAGCAAGTGCGAGGTTTTGGAGCGTCTGAAGCGTCCAGAATCCAGAAGTATGGCAGAACCATTGGCAATTTGTCGAGGGGTTTGAGGGGTTTGAGAGGTTTGAGGCGTGTGAAGGGCAGTTTCGGGCCACTAGAAAAAAGTATTTGGCGCGCCAGAGCCCCGAGCCCACAATCTGCGCAACTCCGCCCACAGTCTCGCACAGAGCCCAGAGCCCACAGTCTAGCAAGTGCGAGGTTTTGGAGCGTCTGAAGCGTCCAGAATCCAGAAGCTGGCTGCTCCAACGGCCAGTATGGCAGAACCATTGGCAAGGTTCGAGGGGTTTGAGGGGTTTCAGGGTTTTGAGGGGTTTGAGGCGTTTGAAGGCGGTTTCGGGCCACTAGAAAAAAAAGGATTTGGCGCGCCAGAGCCCCGAGCCCACAGCCTGCGCAACTCCGCCCACAGTCTCGCAGAGCCCAGAGCCCACAGTCTGGCAAGTGCGAGGTTTTGGAGCGTCTGAAGCGTCCAGAATCCAGAAGCTGGCTGCTCCAACGGCCAGTATGGCAGAACCATTGGCAAGGTTCGAGGGGTTTGAGGGGTTTCAGGGATTTGAGGGGTTTGAGGCGTTTGAAGGCGGTTTCGGGCCACTAGAAAAAAAGGATTTGGCGCGCCAGAGCCCCGAGCCCACAGCCTGCGCAACTCCGCCCACAGTCTCGCAGAGCCCAGAGCCCGCAGTCTAGCAAGTGCGAGGTTTTGGAGCGTCTGACGCGTCCATGGAGCGTCTGAAGTGTCCAGAATCCAGTATGGCACAACCATTGGCAAGTGTCGAAGCGTTTGAGGGGTTTGAGGGGTTTGAGGCGTTTGAAGGGCAGTTTCGGGCCACTAGAAAAAAGGATTTGGCGCGCCAGAGCCCCGAGCCCACAGCCTGCGCAACTCCGCCCACAGTCTCGCAGAGCCCAGAGCCCACAGTCTGGCAAGTGCGAGGTTTTGGAGCGTCTGAAGCGTCCAGAATCCAGAAGCTGGCTGCTCCAACGGCCAGTATGGCCCACAGTCTGGCACAGAGCCCAGAGCCCACAGTCTAGCAAGTGCGAACTTTTGGCGCTTTTGCTTTCGGGCCCAGAAAAGTAAGGACTTGGAGAGCTCAGGGTGGTCCCAGGCGCCGCCCCTGCCTTCGCCAGAGCAGGGGTCGGCGGATATATATAAAGATGAACTTGTCTGTATATACAGACAAAGATTGTTCTTTCCAAATTTGCCCCTGGGCAGTCTGCCAGTGCTCCAAAAGCCTAGTCAATTTTTCAACTTTCTACTGTCGCGTGGTTTTGGCTCTAGCTGCTGGTCCTAGAGTATTTTGTTTGAGTAATTAGATCCCACTTGAGGTGTTGATGACTGCAAAGCGGCAAGTGGATGGGAATTCAGGTGGACGTCACGACTGCAGCCAGCTTCGATTGACACACCACCAATTCCACTTGAACAATCCATTTTGTGTTCTACGCTTTGTGTAGACCTGAATCCGCAGGTGGGCGGACTTCAGAACCCATCCATACATTTGTTGCCCCAAGGCGAGGAATGTGTTTCACAGTTGTATTTCTTCAGATTGAAGTTTCGCCGTGGGACTGGTGTGATCTGGCCGAAGCAGGTGATTCGACATCAGTATTTGGGAGGTCAACAGATCTGCCCGAGTGGTTCACAACCCAGCGGTGCTTTGTTTTCTCATGGTGGACATCAGTTCCGTCGGTTCAAGGTTGGGAAGTAGAAGAACAGGGCCTCAGACTTAGCTCAGGATCAAGACACTACGATACTCTAATACTAAGTCTGTTGTTTTCACAAAAGTCCCTACTTGTACCAGGAGGATGTCGTTTGCTCTTTCACAGCAGAAAAATACACATTCCCCCTTCGCCCTCGGTGAACTTGCACCGCTTTGCTTATGGTAAGAATTCACCGGTTCACTGGTGAGGAAAGCGAACCAGCGCCGAGCAATACGCCGCTTCACCCTCACCAATGCTCCGCCACAGGTAACCCAGCATCACCCCTCAAGGAGTGATAGCCTACCACTTCACCAGATGTGGGAATCACACTTCCACAAGGAATTAGATGGAACCTATAAGGTCAGCTAGCTGCGGACAGAGCCTTGTACTGCAAAACTCACGATGCCCTACAGGGGTACACCGTCATATCGAAGGATACTGCTGCACCAGCAGAGGCAACATGTGCCACTCCAGACTCCAGTTGTTGTTTCGCCAGCGTTGGACATGTGCTGTTTCACATGCAATATCACCACAATACATGAACCCTACAATGGAGTACCCATGGACTTGCGAGCAGGCAAGCCAACAAATTGTTTCCCATCTGAGCATGCAATCTGAGTATATAAGGAAGGCCATGTCGGATTCATAGACGTAAAACAGGCCAGCCTTGGCCAGAGGAGACATCAGCAACAGCAACGAAGCAAGGATGAAGTCCAAGACAAACCCAAATCGCTGCTTTGTGCCACATTGCCCAGGCCATGGACACTGTTGCAGGAAGTCGTGGTCATGGGTGTGGCGTCCCAGGAAACCAGGCTTCTCATGTCTTCTTGACTTTGAGATAACAGACATTCACAAACCCTTCAAGTGCTGGGTGGCATGCTTTGGGGGTGGGCCTTCTACCAAGTAACCTGTGCTTGTGCAAAATGCTAAGCCTGTAGACTCGTACGGCGGCGACGAGCCCCTACTTAATCCCCAGTGAGTGAACCGATGTTGGGACGTACCAACGATACCGTCGTACCGTCGGTACCGTCATCGGCCTGGTTGGGCGGCGTTATGCGACCTGTGTTTTCGATGCGCTGGGGTAAGGATTGCGGCGAACACTGCGCCTTTGACCAATGCAAGAAGAGTTTGGGACTCAAATTCTTTGAACACGCTCCAGAATCGTTTGAAAAACGGTTGCTCGTTAGAATCGTTTGAGCCGAAGCGGCTGAAGTTACGTCTCAGATCTGGCACTGGAGTGGTACCCTGTGGATGACAAGTCCGAACGCTACAAGCCCGGGCCCCAAGAGTTGACGCAGATAGCAACTCTGAATCGCCTGACTCAAGGTGTTGCCCTGAAATGCCTGCAATTCATTTTGACTTGAAGGCAACGTCCCATTTTTATGCTTCTTTTTTGCAAGTTGTTTGGCAAGTTGTCGAAAAGACACTCCAGGAGAAGACTGACTTGCCGAGTTTGGTCACAGCTGGTTCTTCTTTGGTGTCCAGGCCAACCAGCTGTGACCAAACAGTGGACATACCGGGATGGCCATGGATGGCCTGTGTTCTCGGCAGGCCCATCGATTTGTCGTCAGTGACCTTCGCCCAAGCTTCCACTGCAGGTGCCTGTCGAGTCCGATCGCTTGTGTCCTTTAAGTTTAATTCTAATAGCTTTTTGTTACTAGTAGTAAGGCACTTGTTACTACTAGCGAGGCACTTGTTACTAGTAGTAACAAGAAGCTAGCGAAAAATATGTGTGATTTTTCAACTTTTAGCTGACATCCATCGGTGGGAAGATTGAGTGCCAGGGCTCGCCATGTTTTTTGGTTTTGGTGGCTTTAGTGGTTTTGGTTCGCTTGTAGTTGTTGTGTTTGCCGCGACCGAGACAAATTGGTGAATCACATGGGATCGCTCGACCACTTTACAAATCCGCTTTCCTTGACTGCACAAAATCTGTGGGTTGTGATGCAAAAAGACACCGACTGACTGATCTTGAGGCGTGATATTGGGAGCGCTTCTTATTTGCAAGCACACACCTCAGGGCGGAACATGTTCCCTGATGTTTGAGATAGGAATAAGCAGCTGAGTTTCATGGCCTCACTTGGGGCATTTCAGGCTTTCGATTTCGAGTCCTCTACTTTGAGATGCTGCACGCAGGTTTGCTCTCAGTTGCTGGTGCTCCTTTAGCCGGCGGCAATCGCAGAAAGTGAGAACCTTACAACTCTTCAGCTTGAGCTTGTGCGGCATGAAACGATGAGCGGCCCAATGAGCGGCATGTGGCTGTGGCCAAGGACCAGTAAAACATTGCTGACCTTGCATTGCTGAGCAGGAAAAGCACATGAAGAGCTTTGTCCAGAGCACTCCATGTTGTTTGCACGCGGACATGACCAGTGACTAGAGCATCGTTTTTGACCTCTGTGGTTTGCAGAAAATCCTTGATGTCTTCGCAGCATTGCTTGCTCATGACATGTTCTGTTGTGTTTTAAGTGGACGGTGATTAGTCATTAGGTTTTTGAGGGTGCGGGCCTCAGACACTGGGTGTGATGCCCCGAGGATGTGGCAAACAATTGAAAGCCAAGTTTCCCTAAAAATCTAGGAGCCAAATCATTAGTGTGAGCTATCCTGCGTCCTAGCTAGGAGCTTACTCCCTTACTTCATTAAGTAAGCGCCTACTTAATTAACTAGGAGCAGGCCAAAAGCAGAAAAGGAAAGGAAAGGAAAGCAAGGTTCAAGATTGATGTGTTAAAAGTTCAAGCTGCTCTTGATTTCGCAGGCCTGCAGACCTCGATGTATTCTACACACAACTATGCCGGGGACCAGCAGCCGTACACCCTGCATGTTTGAAGCTGCAAGCGCCGTGACCCAAAAATTGAGCGGCTTGCACAGGTTGACACAGCCCGCAGGCCCACCATACGGTGGCTATGACCAAAGGGTCCAGGTCTTATCAGCCTTTCTGTGAATGATATAAAAAGCTATATCATCGGATCCGATTCTTTTGATGATTTCCAGATTTCCAGACATTGATCAAATGAATCCTGAGTCTGGTGATTTCCTTTGTACTTGCTGAGGGCTATGCACAGGGCGGCTATGGGCCTCAACCAGGCTTTCCTCAGGCAGCTCAAGGCCCATATGGGAACTACAATCAGCCGGGTCCTGGACCACAAGGCTCGGTAGAAACAGCTCCACAGCTTTGGTGCGTGCGACCTCTTCTGCGAGCCCAACAGCGACCTCAGGTGGAAACCAACAGCAGGCTGCAGCAACCAAAGGTAGTTCCATGAACCCAGACTGGAACCTTGGACGTTGGCACAAGGGAAGACTTCTAAGTTTAAGCATGCCCAAGTAGTGTAAAGTGTTCTCAGCGTTTTTGCTTGTAAAGGGCCCAAGCGGTTTGCAAGTAGCGTTCTTCATTTGTGGTGCAGAACAATACATACCTACTTGATCCTATTACTAATGGGCATCTTGCAGCTCTGGTGCCTTCACTAGTGCAATGCGATGAATTCCGCTTAGGAGCAATGCATTCTTCGCAGCAGCCTGCTCCACTATGCTGTGGCACTCAGAAACTGAAAGGAAACAGTCTTGTGAGTGCCTGCCACTCACAACCTTTCAATCTGCCAGCTGACAATGGCAGGCACATTACAGACAGCCAAGCTGATGATCATTTGAGTGATAGAGCAGCAACATAAGGAGGGTTGAATCCAGAGTGGAGTGGTCACACCTCAGTTGACCAAGTGATGATGCATTGCCATTTCTCTAGATATATGCAAGTCGAGCTTTTCAGAGCACGCTCTTGCAGTCTTTTTTCTAAAAACAACGCCACTATGCTCCACAAAAGATTTGGGTCAGAATTTTGAAGCAAGGCTGGGAGCATTCATTGGCGGCATTTGCCTCTTTTTTTTCCTTCGAGTCGCCGCCTTAGCTGATTGCGTTGGTTTGCGCAAGCAACATACTGGTTGGCCGAGTTGGCTTGCGGAGGCTAGTGGATTTTCTCGAGATGTGCTACATTTTGCTCTTTGGAGGTGCGTTCTTGTCAAGCCTTTTTTCTTCCCGACAACTTGAGAGAGATGTAGATCAGCAAAGATTGACACGGTGTGGAATCCAAGGTGTTCTCGCGTTGATGGACACTCCATGCTTCAAGACCATGAAAACGGTACCCCTGGCATGATTCTCTTGAATTGATTGATACGATTTCGTCAACAAGTGTCACCAGGTAAAAGACCACCGTGAGTACTTCTCCAAGTATGTCAACATCCTGACTCGAGTGACAGGCCGGAGAATTTCATTATTCTAGAGTCACAGCACATGATGCTCTTTGCATTCACCTGCATGTACATTTACCTGCATTCACCAGAAAATACACCTGAGACCGCATAATTAAAATATATATACATACAATTTCTCGCCCCGAGGCAAGGGAATCGCCTTCTTGTTCCTCGGCTGTGCACTCTTCTCTACGATGTGGGACAACCTGGTGTGCTTCTCAACTCTTCTCTACGCTGCGCGAGCTTCGCGCGCTTCGCGAGCTTCGAGCTTCTCAGTCTGCTGTGACGCCAAGGAGAGCACAGGCCTCAAAATCTTGGCCTTCGTGCTGTGCATGATCCCAATTATTGTTGGGGCCTGGCACACAGAGCATCTCATTGTAAACGATGTAGTGTCGGGAATTTAAGCGCCGAACTGCTTTGAAGTATTGCTCCGAGAACTGATTCTGGTGAGAAAGCTTGCATTCGCGTACTCTTTTGCTCTTTGAGCAAGTTCTTAGATTGCCGCCCTTGTGATTGGCTTCATCAAGAGCCAGAAGTTGAACAAAGCCCGGATAGTCTTTGCTCAGGCAAGGCTGATTTGTGGCACAAATGCATTTTGCTTGCTCCTGCAACCTGATCATCAGCACGATTTTTCCATGATATAGTATTTGCTTCCTGAGCAAGGCATAGCACTCAGTGGCAATGATTCTCATGTGTGTGTGTTTGTGTTTTCAGGAGGGTGAGAATATGGCTGCACTCTATGACCAGCATGCCAGAACGTATGGAGGGCATCATGTCCTGGGCTTGGCCCAGCATGCGTCTGACCTCGCCGTCAAAAACCTGGCCGTGGTCTAAGGGTGGATTGACCATGTTGGAATTTAGCGACATGACCTTCAAGACAATGGGCTTCAGATGGGAAGGCAATTGCGCAGCTCGCAAAGACTTGTAGAACTGAGATGGATTAAGACGGACAATCTTTTTGCCACTTTGCTTTTGAGATACCGATCTCAAGCTGATCTTCAATGCGCTGGTGAGCAATCCAGCGTGGCGCACGAACGTCACCAACTTCACCAGCACCAGCCTTGTGTGTTGTGTGTTTTGTGTGTTTCCTTGTTCACACCACTTCATACCCAAGGTTATGGACAGCAGCACACGGATATGGCAAAGATCCCGAAAGAGGAGAGAGCAAATCATGAGAGTACCATGCAATGAGAGTCAGTGCTTGTGATCGTCGATTTCAGGCCCTTCAGGTCTTCAACTTGTGACCGATTCCTAGGACTTGCTTGGATGGGTAAGGGGAGGCATGGCCGATGCCTTAAGCGAGGCCATCCTGGCTGTGGGAGATCGAATCGATTGAATACCACGGTGAAATGATGGCCGTGGCATGCCGCGGCTCTAAGGTTTGGTTGTGAGGTGAGTAATGAGCAGTGGTTGCGTCGCAGGGTCCTGCTATTGGTTTCCTTTCCAAACTCTCAATGAAAGACAACTAGTGATATAACATCGATAGGATTTCAAGAGTTTGCTCAACAAGATCCAGACGAGTGCACGTTGTAATTCGACTGGCTTTCATGGATGCGGGCGGCAGCAAGGTTGAATTAAAGCACATGTTCTCACCACAACATTGGAGAAGCCATACCCGAAACAGCTGTTTTGTCGGCACCTGCAGTCTTGAAAGTAATTCGACTCAGCTTGCTGTTTCATCATAACTTGCACCCTAGAAGACAATGCTTTTTGAATCTTTTTGACTTCTGTCAAGCAGGCTGATTTTGGCACCTTGCCGCAATAGACATTGCGTATGCTTGACCCAAAGCGGAGATAAAAAAAGATGCTTTCGCCCAAGCCTACCAAGACCCCCTCCAATATCTAGTCCACTTCAAAGTGGTTCCTTTCCATTTGGGAAGTGGTTCTTTGTGGCCCCCCGAGTTTTTGTGTTTGATTGTTGGGATAAAAGGGCCGAATGTCGTGGGACCCATTTTTTTTCTTCACGCTTCGCGACCCCTTTGCGAAACATCCATTTTGTGTGGGTCTTGGATCAACCCAAAGGATCCATGCTTTTGAAACCTAAGATCAAAACTCAGAGTGTTGTAGTTTCCAGGTTCAAGATGTTTCAAGGAGGCACAGGAACAACATTCTAGTAAAGAAGCAAATTCACCAAGGAGATCTCGCGCGCAAGGCAAGCCAAAGCGCGCCGCTCTTCCTTTGTTTTGCCCTGTGCCCGTGCAGCCTTCCAGGCTAGTGAATATACCTCAAAACATTTAAGACTGCCTTCAACTCTTCAACAGCTGGTAGATAATACACGATGATTCTGACACACGAGTCTTGAGTTGCCAGCAGGTGCACTGTGTAGCTTCTTTTCATCTGAATATTTTTCTTTCCTCGCTGCTTTTGTCTTCGCTGCAGGCTTTCCCTTCAATGCCTTTTTTGGGCTGAGCAGTCTTGTTACCTTTCGCCTTTGCTTTGGCTTTTGGTGCGACCTGGTTTTGGCTTGGCGCGCATCCCGTAGGAATAGGCGAAGGTGGAGCAGGTGACCAATCCGACATGTTCACACCCGAGCTTGGCTCATCACACTCCTCGGAGAACACTGAGCTGACTCCAACAGGTCTAGCATCATAACATATCATAACAATGATCAGGACAGGAGGTGGGGGGAGACGAGTCTGGAGTTTCATTCACCTTGTAGGCCTGGAAAGTTGAAAAGAACTGAACTCCGAGAGAGTGCAGTCAAAACACTTTGACCCATGGTGACAGTGTAAATCAAATAAGGATGGACCCCAAACAATGCCAGTGCCTCAAAGTTTCTTTCTCCTCTTCAGACTTTGTAGGGGCATCTTCAATCAAACGGCTAGAGGGCGCCTGGCAATAATAGAAATAGGAATGAAAAACAGGACCGGGAGCTCGGAGTGCTGATGGCACCTGGTCCTGGTCATCCTTCTTCCGTGATAGTCTCTTCATCGAAGCACCCGCCCTGCCAATTTCTGCCATTGTCAACGATTATGCTGCAACGTGACAGCCTTGACCAATTGAGACAACAGTTCAAACAAACAAGCTGTCTTGAAGCTGGCCTTTTGGCTGGAGCTCCCTTTCTCGAAGGTCCCAGTACCGTTCCACAGCCAAGCACGTCGTCCAAGCGCTCCGTCGTGATCACCCTCATCGTCACCTTCTTCAGAACCCAGCGGGCTGTGATCCACAACACTGTCTGATACATGCATAACATTCAACTGTAGTTCTGTTTTTGCATGCATGCTCCCAGTGGCTTTGTGCGCTCAAACCATTTGGACTTCGTGTTGACTTTCCTTAATCCAATGAAGTCTGAACACCTTTAGAAACACCGAGCGTGCCGATGCCAAGACTCTTTCGCATGGCCTTCACTCGACGCAGGGGCCTTGCCCTCATGTCCTTCATCACTTCTGAGTGACAGTCGTCAGAAGCAAATCTGGCCTCAGAGGCGTCAGATTGATCATGAAAACAAGGGGAACATAGACTGGAAAAGTAGTCTTGTTTTTGCTTAAAGCGATTTTTTTACTTTTCTTGTTTTTGCAAGCGGCCCATCGTGTACATTGGGGATCATGCCTTTTAGGGTTGCACCGCAAGCCGGTCGGCAGAGCGAGTCGTTGGACGAAGTCGAGGAAGTCGAGGGTATGTACCCGCTCCGCGGCTCAGAGAGGCACATTGGGGATCGTGCCTTTCAGGGGTGGGCACTGGAGCGCAATTCTTTGATGAATTAGAATAGAGTCGTCAACTTTTTAGAGGAAGCCAGAATGGCTGAAGTAACACAAGCAGTCTAGAGATTTCTTGGGTGGATAGGGAGGGATGCGAATGACCCCTTTTTATCGGGGCCATTTTGGGCTCAAGTGAGCGGGGTTCCCCCCATCAACTTAGGTGGGGGTGGGGGCGCTTGCGCCATGTTGGGCCTGCTCCCCGATAGAGCCACTCTGGACACCTGGGCGACTGTCCAGGATGCAGCGACCTGGGGTGGCTTGGAGTCGGGGTTGGTTCGCTGCGTGACTCGGCAGCTAGGTGACCAGAACCTGACCTCCTTGCAGGTTCTTGCAGTGATACCAACAGAAGTGTTTGAGCAGGCCCTTTCGAATGCTAGGCGTGGCACCCGTGAACTTGCTGAAACAGAGAAAGCACAATGGCGGTTGATGTTGAGTGCCGTGCGTGTCAAATTCGGTGGAGTTTCGTTGTTTACAAGCAATGCGGCAGTTGACAACACAAGTGGTGCCGTGACAAGCAGCAGTGCAACAAGTGGCAGCGTTAAGTTGAAAATCAAGATGAACCAAATCATTGACCAAGGTTGTGACTTCGAGGTAGAGATGCTGCCGGCAGTGGAGCTTCAAAGCATGAGGGCAAAGTTCGCCATGATAGAAGGTGACAGTCCGCTGGAAAAAGAGGAGGTTACAGATGCGCAGTTGAGTTGTTTGTACTACAAGGTGCACAATGGGCAGGCTCCCTTTGTCGATATGGCTGTGTGGGGACCACACGGTGAACGCCTGGCTCGGGCGATGAAATTCGTGAGTCAGCAGTGGAGAGATGGTGAGTGGAAAGCTGTTGAACTCCCAGGTGCAATGAGCTTGGATGCATGGGAGGAGGCGTGGCAGATTTTCCGCACCGCAGCTTTGATGACACAGGTTGCAACAGCAGCAACACTCGACCGATATGCTGCAGAGTTTCGAAGTCGTGTCCTCCAACACCCAGATGTGTGGCATCTTGCAGCCCAGGCAGATATTCGGTGCCGCACTGAGTTCTGGGCGCAGGAGAAGAGGAAGCAAGAGGCTTTCCATGCGACGCACCCAGCGCTTTCAGCCTTCGTTCCAGGACAGCCCTGGAATTCGGTCATCAGGGCAAGCGCAAGCCATGCTGAGTTCTGGAGCAAAGAGTTTGAGAAACCAGCCATCTGGCACTCGTCGAAAGCAGTCTCAGCCAGGCCTTTGCCGCCGTCAAGCTCAGATGAAGTTGCAGCATTGAAGCCCTCGCCCAAAAAGAAGACCTTCGACCCGCAACGCAAGGACGGGAGGTACTTCAAGAGTCGTGCAGGTGTGAACATTTGTTATGCTAGGGCACGGTCGGCAGATGGTTGGAACAATGAGAAATGTGAGAAAGGATTTGCTCACATTTGTGAGTGGTGTCGACAGCCACACAAGTCCGTTGATTGTCCCCAGAACCCGGGATGGAGTGAGGAGAAGGCCAAGAAGGACAAGGGCAAAGGGCGAGGCAAGTGGAAAGGTGGCAGTGGGCCACCAAAGCGACCCAGGCACCTGTGAAGGTGCCGCCCTCGAGCCGGTGACTCCAGAGGCTGTTGTTTCGAGCGTGTCGGACAGGCTTGACCAGTTGAGGAGATCGCTGAAGAGGAGGGCTTCGCTCGGAGAATTTGACGCACGCAAGGCTTCAAAGATCTCAGAATCTCCTAAGGAGATGCCAGTTGAGGGTACAGAGGAAGCCAAGGACGAGAGTTTCATGGAGCTGTTTGCTGGTGAGGCTGGTTTGACACAGGCGGTGAGACGTCAAGGACTGCATGTGCTCGAACCAGGTGAAATACAGACAAGCAGCAGAGTTGTCACCAGTATGAATTTGTTGTGCAACAAGACCTTTGCAGAGCTCAAAGCGTTGACAAAGAAAAGAAGGGTGCGCTGGCTACATATGGCCCCACCTTGCAGAACCTTCTCACGCGCTCGTCGAAGAGACAAGTTTGCCAAGGTTAAAGTGTTGAGGTCGACAAGACACCCCGAAGGTCTAGAGCCGAAGTCAAGCAGAGTCAAAGAGGCCAATTTGTTAGCTTCACGTGCAGCGCAACTCAGTCTTCTGCAATGGAAGGCTGGGGGCTGGTTTTCGCTAGAGAACCCAGAGGGCTCACTTATTTGGCTGTATGAGCCAGTCAGACGGTTGTTACAACTCGAGGGGTTATGTTGTACAAGGGCGATCAGTGTTGTTTTATGGGTGAGTTTGTAAAGCCGACGGGTTGGTTGAGCAATGCGTTGTTCGTTGAGACATTGTGCAAACGTTGTCCGGACCCGCCACAGCATTGTCACGAACCGTTGACAGGGTTCACTACGGACTACCACGGGAACACTGTGTTCAAAACTGCCCTAGCAGCTGAGTACCCCCAAGGGTTGTGCATTGAACTGGCCAAAGCCTGCAGCGCTGCGAGATGCCGGACCCAGAACAGACAGTTGGAGGTTGACGCTCAAAGAAGGCAGTAAGTTAGACACACTGTTTTCAGTAAAGGCTGAGATCGAAAAGGAGAACGAACAGTGCATAGGAGGTCTTCGAAATCCTTGGCGATCCATGAAGAAAGTGCCAGGTTGGTCGGAAGTTGGCAGAGTGGGTTGGCAAGGAGCGTGAGTTTGACCAATGGCATGAGCTTGAGTGGGTGCGAGCCCGGCTGGCTAGCATCTTCAATTGTCGTACCCATGAGCGTGGGCTCTGGGGACCTCTTTTGGAGAAGCTAGTCCAGCTGAGCAACGATCCGGATTC